AAATCATATTATGACTATTCTCTCCAATAGCATCTTTGGAAGTCAAGATAATTTTCTTGTTTTAAATTATATTCAATTTACTTTAACAGAGCTTGGGTCTGAAGAGATAGGGAATATCAAAATATTGAGAGATTAATTTTACTAATCAGATTCTAAATCTGGGAGTTAATTCTCCAATCAATTAATGCATAGTAAACTATAGGATTAGATTGAAGGCATCAGACTGGAAGGGAAAGAAGAGAGGTAGGAAGCAGATGTAGAGAAAGTAGAGAATAGAGAAAGAAGCTTACCTTCAAACAGGAGAGTGAGTGTGTCTGCAAAGATGACTGCAGCTCTTCGGTCACTCATGTCCGACTCTAGCACCAACAGTAAGTTCTCCTCAGCTTTACTGGCTACCTGGAAAAAAAAAAGCACAAAATTCACATAGACTTCTTAGATCAAAGGCCAGCCTCATGCAGGGTAAATTTGTTTTCCAAAAAGGCCTCCCACTGGTTTTTCTTCCCTGTATGTTCTCTTGATGGTTGGAGGAACCTCTCTTGGTGAGAATCTGGGCTGTGTGAGTTCAGGTAGGGTAAGAAACTAGAGCAAAGAGATAACTCTTCTTTCATTCAGAAGGATAAATAATGCTTTTCTTCTCTTCCAAAATATAAACAGTTAGCCAGACAGCAGTGGCTCATGCCTGGAATCCTAGGCACTTAGGAGGCCGAGGTCTGAGGATTTTGGTTCAAAGCCAGCTTGGACAGGAAAGTCTGTGAGACTCTTATCTCCAACTAACCACCAAAAAGCTGGAAGTGGAGCTGTGGTTCAAGTGGTAGAGTACTAGTCTTGAGCACAAAAGCTCAGAAACAGTGCCTAGGCCCTGAGTTCAAACCCAGGACCAGCAGAAACAAAATATAAACAAAATATTAGCAACAAATGCAGTGGTGGTACTCACTAGATACTAGGTACTCACTAGCTATAGACTGAAAGTGAACTATACAACTTGTGGATGGGATGGGAAGGAAAAACTGGAAGAGAGCATGGGAAGAGGTTACAGTGTCCAAAAAGAATTGTACTTATTACCTGACTTATTTAACTGTAACCCCTTTGTATATCACCTTTATAAAGACAGTAAAAAATTAAAAAATTCATAGACACTTGTTTCACAGCTAAACAACAACAATAATAACAACAAACCCAAGCTATCATTAGCTAAAGGGAGAGTGACCCTAATTGTAATAATCTCCTCAAAGTTTAGCTTGTTATTCTTAACAAGAAATCTGGGTAATATGAAAGCTTTTTGTTTTTTTTATATTTTATTAGTACTGGGGCTTGAACTCAGGGCCTGGGTACTGTTCCTTAGCCTTTTGTTCAAGGCTAATAGAACTTTACCACTTGAACCATACCTCCAATTCTGTTTTTTTTTTGTGTGTGTATGTGCTTAATTGGAGAGCAGAGTCTCATGGATTTTTTTCTCTCCCCAATGGCTTTCAACCACCTTCCACAGACCTCAGCCTTCTGAGTAGCTAGGATTACAGGCATGAGCCACCAACACCCAGCTATTTATTTTTTTCTTCATGCCAGTATTGGAGCTTGAACTCAGTTCTTCCCTCCCAGAATACCAAGATTCCTTGTCCTAGCCTGACAGATATCATTTATGAGAATCAATTACTTTGAGATTATTGCTAGCCCTTTAACACACACACACATTTAACATTTCAATTTCTATTTATTGTTTTTGCCAGTCTAGAGGCTTGAACTCGTGCTGTCCCTGAGCCTCTCTGTGCTCAAGGCTAGCACTCCACCACTTGAGCCATTGAGCCACTTCTGTTTTTTTCAGAGTAGTTTATTGGCGATAAGAGTCTCATGGAAGCTGGGTGTTCATGGCTTACACCTGTAATCCTAGCTACCCAGGAGGCTGAGATCTAAGGATTGAAGTTCAAAGCCAGCCTGGGCAGGAAAGTCTGTGAGACTTTTATCTCCAATAAACCACTCAGAAAACCAGAAATGGCACATGGCTCAAGTGATAGAGTGCTAGTCTTGAGCTGAAGAGCTGAGGGATAGCGCCAAGGCCCAGAGAGTTCAAGCCCCACAACCAACCAAAAAAAAAAAGTCTCATGGATTTTCTTGCCTAGGCTTTCCTTGAACTGAAATTTGTAGATCTCAGCCTCCTGAGCAGCTAGGATTACAAGAGTAAGCTACTGGTGCTCAGCAGTAGTCCATATTTTAAACAGAAGAAAAGTACTACTAGGCATGGTTGGCTCATGCTTGTAATCCTAGCTCAGGAGGCTGAGATCTGAGGATCATAATTCGAAGCCAGACAGGGCAAAGAAAAGTTGGTCAATGAGACTCCATGTCCAGTCAATCAACAAAAAGTCTGACTGGTGGTAGAGTTCAAGTGGTGAAATGCCAACTGTGATAAAAGTGCCAAGTGAGAGCACAAGGCCTTGGTTTCAAGTCTGATGCAGATACTAAAAAAATAAAAAGCTTAAAGTCCTAAGAATCAAACTGAAGCCCATTGAGACTCCAGAATGGTTATGAAGTCTTGAGACCATTAACCAAGAATTTCAATTGCTTATTTATTGATTGATTTGCTTGAACTCGGGACCTCGTGCTGTCTCTGAGCTTTTGTGCTCAAGGTTAGTGCTCTCCACTTTGAGCCACAGTACCACTTCTGGTTTTCTGGTGGTTAATTGGAAATAAGTCTCATGGACTTTCCTACCCAGGCTGGCTTTGAACTGCGATCCTCAGATCTCAGCCTCCCAAGTAGCTAGGATTACAGGCATGAGCCACCAGCATATGGCTTTCAATTACTTTTAAAAGGAGCCAGTTCCTCACTAACAGCTTGAAAAGGATGATTTAACTTGTCAGAGAACTTGCATTTTCATTTTTGGAAATAAATGTGTAGTAGCAGATGCCTACGCCATCAATAGGCTGGCAATAAATGTGTTGAGTGAATGCATGCATTCAAGTCTGCCAGATTCCAGGAGGAGCAGAAAAAAGTCATATGCAGAAAAGACAAAGTATCCATAGAAACTGGACTTATTCAGTCTCTGCAGGCAAAGAACTATATCATTATCCGGACAAATAACCTGGGCCCATACCTGCTTGCAGAGGTATTCTGAGAATTTGCTTAATCCCTCTTCATGCAAACCCAACAGTGGGAAGATCTTGAAGAAACGTTCCACCTGGGGCAAATCCCCTTCCTTGGTAGCTATGGCAAATTTTTCTGCTACAATGGCTTTGAGACGTTGCTCAGCTTCTTGAAGTAATTTCAGATTGGCATCAATTATGCTTCCTGCTCAATGGGGAGAAAAATGAAAATTAATGCAAAGAATGGTACTGTATCTGCTCCACGTTTTCCTAGGGCTTTAGACACGGTTCCTGGAGTTTTTGCTCAATGCTAGTGCTCTCCCATTTGAGCCACAGCTCCACTTCTGGATTTTTGGCAGTTAATTGGAGATAAAGAGTCTCACAGACTTTCCTTTGAATTCTGATCCAATTTAATTGTGATCTGAGTCTCCTGACCGTGAGCCAGCAGTGTCTAGCTACCAGTATTCACTAAGAAGTATGTACTATGCACTTACTGTGCTAGATACTAGACTTGCAGTGTGTATGTTAAAGAGATGAAGTCAGCCATGATCCTACTGTCATGGAGGTTACACTTAAATGAAAGTTTTGAACATAAATACCTATTAAATATTCTGATAAGTTGTTGCAAGGAAGTTGCTTCAAAGTTGCAAAGTACAACGAATTGCTAGAAAGTGAGGAGCCCTCTCTAAAAGGTGGGTATGATTTTGAGACTTGAGTAGGGATAGTAGTAGAAAGATGAGGGGCTGGGAATGTTGCTCAGTGGTAGAGAGCTTGCCTAGCATTCATGAAGCGCTGGGTTCAATTCCTCAGTACCACATAAACAGAAAAAGTCAGAAGTGGTGCTGTGGCTCAAAGTAGTAGAGCATCCCAGCCCCCCCTGTGAGACTCTTATATCCAATTACCCACTCAAAAACTGGAAGTGATGCTGTGGCTGAAAGTAGTAGAGCACTAGCCTTGATCAAAAGAGCTCAAGTACAGCACCTAGGCCCTGAGTTCAAGTCCCATGACCGATTTAAAAAAAAAAAAAGTGTGCTGGGAAGGTGGCTCAGTGGTAGAGTGCTTGCCTTGCATGCCTGAGGCCCTGGGTTCCATTCCTCAACAACACATAAGCAGAAAAAGCTGGAAGTGGTGCTTGGCTCCAGTGGTAGAGCACTAGCCTTGAGCTGAAGAGCTGAGGGACAGTGCCCAGGCCCAGAGTTCAGGCCCCATGACTGGCAAAAAAAAAAAAAAAAAAGTAGAAAGATGAAGAATAGTTGCTTAGGTTGAGTAAAGATTATGGAAGGCCCAAAATATCAAGCTAAAAATTTCAAGTAGGCAATATGGTTTAATGCAAAGAACCAACTGGGCACAGAATCAGTTAAGTATAAATTCATTTTCTTTTTCCATAAAATGGAAATAACATCTGCCCTGAGATGGTGAGGACCTAAATAGGACCAGAAAAGGAAACTTCTCTAGTACATGGTTGAGTTTGCCTAATTCAGATTACAGATACTCATAATCAATAGTTTGGGATGCCCACCTTCTTTGCCTTGTCGGCTGAGCTCAATGACTGACTTATCTAGGCATAAGTATCGATGAATGTGGGCTGCAGCCTGCTCATAATCTTCATTCCTTAAAGCAGTCTGAACTCCATCCATGCAGAATTTCAGGTCCAAGATGTCATCAGCTCTCTGAATGGCCTGATAGAGACGGTTCTGCAAAAAGATTTGATGCTTAGAAATCATGTTTGTTTTGTTCTCTGCACAAGGTAGAGATTAAGGAGGTGAATTTAATTAACCATAGAGCTTTTATAGTGTCAGTTGGCAAATACAACCAGTATTCCCACCACTCACAAAACTGTTATTTTATTTTTTTGTCGGTTGTGGAGCATATGGTCCTTCTATTTGTGCTTCCCTGTTCACTGGGGATGACAGGCACACACTATGCCCAGCCACTGTGCTTTCCTGGAAATTGCACATACCACAATGCCCAGCCATTGGATGAGATGGAGTCTCCTGAACTTGGGCTGACCTCAAACTACAATTTTCTAATCCCCATCTTTCCCCATCTTTTTTTTTTTGTTGTTGTTGTTCGTTGTGAGGCCTGAACTCTGGGCCTGGGCACTGTCCCTCAGCTCTTCAACTCAAGGCTAGCGCTCTACCACTTGAGCCACAGGGCCACTTCCGGCTTTTTCTGCATATGTGGTGCTAAGAAATCAAACCCAGGGCCTCATGCATGCAAGGCAAGCACTCTACCAGTGAGCCGCCTTCCCAGCCCTTCTTTCCCCATCTTTTAAGTAGCTAGGAATTACAGGGTTAGGCCATTGTGCCTGGCATGGAGTTTTCATTTGGAATACCTGTCTGTCTCTGTCATTTTATATTAGATTTCTAGTTGATAGTGCTTTAACGTCTCTAATGTGAGAGCTTCTTTCCTGCCATTTAACTCAGACACAGTTCTATGGGATTACCTTGGCCAGGTCAAGTTGACGGACTTTGCTGGACACATTTTCAGCTAGGTTGCAGGTAAAGGTGATCATTCCAGCCAGCTGCTTAGCATCTCCCTCAATCAGCTGCAGATTGGGACTGGAGACACAAATTGCCAGCGACAGATATCCATTAGGACAAAGGGTGATAAGAAATGAAAATGGTTTTGCAGATGCAGACTATGCCTTCTACTTTTTTTTGGTGCCAGTCCTGGGGCTTTAACTCAGGGGCACTGTCTCAGAGCTTCTTTTGCCCCAGGCTACCACTCTATCACTTGAGCCACAACATTACTTCTCTCTCTTTTTTTTTTTTTGGTAACTTATTGGAAATAAGAGTCTCATGGACTATCCTTTCCTGGGCTGGCTTCAAACCGTGATCCTCAGATCTTAGCCTCCTGAGTAGCTAGGATTACAGACAACAAGCGCATGGCTTCCAAAATCATTTTACTGTGAACTCAGACCTATATGTAATAAAATAGTAAGAAGGCTGGGGTAGGAAGAGGGATCACAGCCAAGGAAATGTGCTAAAGCACATATTTATTTCTTTGTGCATTTACTATTGCTAAATTTAAATGTACTTGTAATTAATGCATGCATTTAATAATGCTATGTTTATGCCCCTAGTGTGTGTATATGTGTGTATGATACTTTAGATCTGATCCTTGGCACTACAACAACAGATAAATAAAATATTCTAAAACTACTAGATTCGGGGCTGGGAAGGTGGCTCAGTGGTAAAGCGCTTGCCTTGCATGCCTGAGGCCCTGGGTTTGATTCCTCAGCACCACATAAGCAAAAAGAAAAAAGCCAGAAGTGGCACTGTGGCTCAAGTGGTAAAGCACTAGCCTTGAGCTGAAGAGCTGAGGGACAGCGCCCAGGCCAAGAGTTCAGGCCCCACGACCGGACCCAAAAAACAAAACAAAAACTACTAGATTCACCCCTAAATAAATATAGCCAGAGAATTAGAGAATACATTCTCCTAGAAGCTAAGTAACATGAAATGCACTAGTCAAGAACGTTAGGGGATACTAAAAAAAAAGAGCAATTTTTATGAATAGTTTATATGCATCTTCAAAAGTTCAAACTTGAACTGCACATCCAATCACCTGGCAGACATTACATAAATATTCCTGGGCTTCACTCATAGTTCCTGATTCATTAAGTGTGGGGTGGACCCTGGAATTTGTATTTCTAACACGTTTCCATGTAGTCCAAGGCTTTGAAAACTACTGAACTGTATACCCTTAGGCATTCCCTATGTTGAGGTAATGCTACTCCATTTGAAACTCAATTGGCAGTTTATAACAAAGTTAGGACAAATAGTAACTTAGCTAGTGGACCCCGCAGGAATGTAGTCAGTCTTGCCATGATGTACAGACTCACCCCATTCGGTGGAGATTGACCATCTTATTTTCAATAGTGTTTTGCTGTTCCAAAAGATCATCCAGCTCTTTTTCCACCACTTTCTGAAATACAGAGAAATAGCTTGTTATCCTTGAGTAGAAGGATCCTTATGAGTTATTTAACCCAGCAACTACTTAAAGGGTGAATCCCATTTCAAGTTGTTTCTTCTTTTTCACTATGCTCCCTTAGACTTAAACAATACTTTGTTTCTGCACTTAATACAATGTATGATAATTCTTACCTTATGTATGTCTTATTTCATCTAGTGGATCAGCGGAAAGTTTTTTTTTAATTTTTAAAAAAGAATTAAAAAAATTTGGTGGTGGGGATTAAACTCAGTGCTTGCTAAGCAAGCAGTCTACTACTGAACTGTATCTCCAACCCCAAATAAACTTTATCATAATGCATCACACAGGTAGAAAAATACACATAATACCTAAACAAATCAAATTTCCACAGTGGCAGTCATTTCTTGGTACATAGTAAATACAATTCTATCTCAGTAAAGTCATTTACTCTGCTACTTCATTTTATGCTAACCCCCACCCCTTTTTTGTGCTGATCCTGGGGCTTGAACTCAGGGTCTAGGAGCTGATTTTTTATGCTCATGGTTAACATGCTACCATTTGAGCCACAGCTCTACTTCTGGCTTTTTGGTGGTTAATTTGAGATAAGAGTCTTGCAAAGTTTCATGGACTTTGTTGCTTGCATTGACTTCAAGTGTGATCCTTAGATCTCAGCCTCCTGAGTAACTAGGATTACAGGCTTGAGTCACTGATGCCTACTTTTATGTAACCTTCTTATGCTTCAGTTTCTTCACTTGGAAAATAGGAATAGCATTATGTATTTTATAGGATATTGTCGCAATATAAACAGGAGAACTCCCAGTGCTTAACCTGGTTGGACTGCACAGTTCAAAAGCCATTTACTAGTAGACTTGTGTGTGTGTGTGTGTATGTGTGTGTGCACACGGACGAGCACGTGTGTATATGCTACTGGGGTTTGAACTCAGTGCCTTTCACTCGTGAGGTTGGCATTATACTTTTGAAATGTAACTCAGATGTAGGGGGATATTTATTTTTTGCCAGTCCTTGGGCTTGAACTCAGGGCCTGGGCACTGTTCCTGCACATTTTCGGGCTTAAGGCTAGCATTTTACCATTTGATCCACAGAGCCAGTCGGGCTTTTTCTGAGTAATTTACAGGAGCTAAGTCTTATGGACTTTGCTGTCCAGGCTGGCTTCGAACTGCCTCAGATCTTAGCCTCCTGAATAGCTAGAATTATGGATATGAGCCACCAGCACCTGGAAGGTGGATATTTTTATTAAGATAGTTCAGTAGGAGATAGAGTGAAACTTCCCCTGACAGTAATCAGAAACAAAGACCAATATTTTTATGTCTATAAGAATTACTTAACTTTTCTCCAAAGTACTGACTGACTCAATGAATGCAAGCTTAGAAATGTTAAGAACACTAGAATGAAAAATATACCTTGTAGGGAAAAAAAAGTATCAGAAACTTCTAGAGTTGTCAGAAGTTAATATTTCAAACTGTTTAAAGATATTAATGATTTTCTCTCCCCCAGGGTGAAACTGCCTTTTGTATTCACCCTTTTTAAAGAGTGATTTGGGAAAAACAGTTACTAAACTTTTATAGCAGAGCTTGTATCTCTTTCTTATGATTGGCTAGGAACTCAAATGACATTGGAGAGTGAATTGACAGCTTCCAATTACCTTGGACAGGTTAAGGAGGAGACAGGATATTATAAAGCAATTGAAACCTTAGAATCTAGTAGTACATGCCCTTATTTGACAGAACATAAGGTGGAAGAAATGAAGTGAATTGTCCAAGACAACAGTGCCTGTGCTTTAAACGTTCTAGCAGACTGTGGTGGTAATAAGTGTCTGTAATCCAACCTACTTCAGAGGCTGAGGCATGAAGACAATTAACTCCCAGAGGTGTCGTACTTGCCTAGCAAGCCCAAAGGCCCTGGGTTCAACCTCCAGTACCATCCTAAAACGAAACAAAGTACAAAGCTGTGCATTTAACTGAAATGCTAAACGTACCTCCGCTTATCATTCTCTGCAAGAATTCTTAAAACCCTTCAACTTTATTTGCACCTACTTCTTGCTGAAATAATGGGATGGTAGTGTTTCGTCATTTTTCAACAGGTAAGTCAATACAATTGTAGAGAACGAGGGCACTGGGCACATACTCTCTCTACTCAATTGAGAAACACTACAGTGACTATAGGGCTAGGGAAATGAATGGGGGAAGAGAGAGGAGGGTGCTGATCTCCCAGATGATCAGATCAAATAATCAGGCCGAGTGAACAGTTACAAGGTCTAACCAAAGACCCAACTACACTAACACTTTTTGCACAGGCACCTGTCGGTCTCTTTCCCTCCCCCGTCTTCCAGGAGAGCGCTGCTCACAGCGCGGATTTCCCAACACTGACAGTCTAATGCCCACAGTCTCCCGATCCTCCTGGAAAAAGTTCCAGCCCCCCACCTCCTCGCCGCAGAGCCGTTCGTACACAGCCTCCAGCTCCTGCAGGTCGGTCAGGGAACGAATGAGCTCGGTAGAGATTTCAGAACAGCCGCCTCCTCCCACCCCCTCGGGCGGCGGAGGCACTCCGGACTTGGGAAGAGAAGCCACATCAGCCATCTTGGTTCCTATTCGGTGCTTTCGGGTCCGCGAGGACCCCTGGTCGTTGGCGCGCCCCGTCATTGGGGCTGCCCATATTAGTGCCTGAGTAGCTAATATTTACGTTTTTTTTTCTTTAAACCTGGTTTTAGTTACAATAATACAGTATATTTAACTAGTTTAAATGCGGCGTGGAAGCAGAGAGAGAGAGGCACTTAAAATTATCTACATATACTATTCAGGCGCAAGTTGGGTACCTTCTTCCCGTCGCGCGCCGTCGCAAGGCCCCAGTCTTGAGGACTAATGGCGGACGCCTGCCGACTGGCGTTGCGGGCGGCTTAGGCCTTGAAGGGATTCAGCATCCAGCGGATACTTACGCCATCCTTCCTGCTGCAGGGTAAAGAAGTAGCTTCGAAACTTTTCTGGCTCTGGGGAAGTGAGGAGCGGCCTCTTGGAAGGGGGCCCCGACGCTTTGGCGGGAGTCTCAGGCCGTGTAGGCCCCGAGCGGTGGTGGCGGGTGTGTGGGGGGAGTTGTGAGCGCAAGCCTGCGGCGCGCAACCGGCTTCCTGGGGTCCCCGCGCGACCCAGCCCTATAATAAAGGCTCGCCACCCGGGCGTCGTGGAGCACGCCTGTGAGTCCCAGCACTCCGCTCGGGAGGCTGAGGCCGGAGGACTGGATTCGAGGCCAGCCTGGGATCTCTAGGTACCTTGTCACAAAACGGGGGGGGTGGGGTGGGGAAGCAGAAATGACTTCGCTTTTGGCCCTGGGTCTCTGGGGCGGGAAGGAGTAAGAAGAAGCAGGAAGGCTATCAATAGTGAATAGGCCCTAACGGGACTCTCCTAGCGGAATTGGAGCAGTCTTGGGGGTCAACTCTGGTTGGAATTTGTGTGTTTTGATAGTTGGGCAATTTGTTTCGACCTCGAAACCCCAGTTTCCTGTGCAAAATGAAGCATGATAACAATCTTGCAGACCTTGAGAGTCGTAAATACAGTGGTGTTCACTTGGAGCACGGATAAAAAAAATGGTCTGAGAAATAAAGATACTTGCAGTAACCGCAGAGGGTTGATAGACCTGTGTTTACCAAACCTACCAAGTTTTCTGGCATATAGTTTTACTACTGAACTTACGTTCTTTCAGAACGCTCCCTTCACCGTTACTCACGATGAAAGTGTGGTTGGAAAACTTGGGCCCAACTAGGTTTGGGGAAAATTAATCTCTAGGTTTTGTGAATAGATGACATTTGGGTTAAAAGGAACCGGAAAATAGGGCAAGTTCTTCCCATTAGCCACAAAGAAAAATATTCTGGTGGAACCTACTCAGGCCCCACTTTCAGCCTGGAAAATTGATCTTTACACCTGCTCGTGTGTAGCCCAGAAATGACTGTTTTATGAATACATGTACTCTGGTTTAATAGCAGAAGTCAATTGGTATGTTAACTACATATCAGGGATTTTGGGTTTCTCAAGAAAAGTAATTCAGTTTATCTTGTCTTACCTGTGTATATGTAACCTGAGGTAATTATGAGACCTGGTTTGTGCTGTCTTCTGTGTTGTCCCTTGAGAAGAAATATTTGTGACTTTAGGAAGTTTTCCTGATGTGTCTAGAATTCAGTGCTTTTTAGTGTTTGATAATGTGTTGATTCAAATTTAAAAATACTCATCAGGCTGAAGGTGTGGGTAGCTCATTGGTAGAGCACTTGCCTAAAGCCTTAGGTTCCATCCCCAGCAACACACACACACACACACACACACACACACACACACACACACACTTAGAAACAAAAAAACCTCAAGTATGAGTTATATAAGAGATAAATGAAGGCAAATGAAAATTACACTAAGATACCAGTTTTCATTTGCAAGATTAACAAAGGTAGAAAGTTTTACCATCATTTTGGCTGGTTATGGGGAACAGGAAATTAATTGGCTTTCAATGTAAATTGGAAGGCTTCTGAAAATTGGTCAGTTTCTGTCAAAAACAATACATAAGCCTGGTGTCAGTGGCTCATGCCTATAACCCTATTTACTCAGTAGGCTAAGATCTGAGGATTGTAGTTTGAAGCTAGTTCCAGCAGGAAAGTCTGTGAGACTGTATCTCCAATTAATCAGAAAAGCTGAAATTGAACTGTGGCTCAAGTGATAGAACACTAGCCTTAAAAAAGAGCCCAGAGACAGTTCCCAGGCCCTGAGTTCAAGCCCCAGGACTGAGACAAAAAAAACAAAATCATAAACATATATGCATATATATTTATGCACACAGATCAAATAACATATATATACACACAACTATATATATACCTATGGATGTATATAAAACATGTATGTATATGTATGGGTATATATAAGTTCTTTAATCCACCAATTTCACTTCTAGTAATTAATTTGAGTTATACCCATGCACATAAAAATGACCTTACATGGAAGGTATTTATTTTCTTTGCAACACTGTAATAGCAAACAACTGGAAACAACCTGAATTCATTAGTAGAATTTTTTTTTTTTTTGGTCGGTCTTGGGGCTTGACTGTGGGCCTGGGCTCAGTCCCTCAGCTCTTCAGCTCAAGGCTAGTGCTCTACCAGTTGAGCCACAGTGCCATTTCTGGTTTTCTGGTGGCTTATTATAGATAAGAGTCTCATGGACTTTCCTGTCTAGTCTGGCTTTGGACCGAGATCCTCAGATCTCAGCCTCCTGAGGATCTAGGATTACAGGCGTGAGCTACTGACTCCTGGCTTCATTAGTAGAATATTTAAGTGAATGATACCCACAGTGGAATACTCTGCAACTGTAGAGAAAGCCCTTTTCTTTTTCTTATTTTTTTTGAAAGCCTTTTAGGGCTATCTCGAAGTAGTTTAAATTGCCATATAGTGTGAGTATATAAAATACACTACTCAGCCTTTGGTGTAACTTGCTTAGAGGCTGTTTCCCCCAACCTCTTGAGCTTTTTGTGACTTTCCTGCCCAGATTGGCTTAGAACTGTGATTCTCAGATCTCAGCATCCTGAGTAGCTAGGATTATAGGTGTGAGCCACCAGTACTTAGCATACTGTTTTATTTTGTTTTATTTTTTGAGGTAGGGTTTCACTATGTTGCTCAGTCTGGAACTTGGGATTCTTCTGCCCTTGCCTCCTGAATGTTGGGATCACAGGTGTGGCATCATTGTTACTTTTAATACAGGTCTTGCTTTGTAGCCCAAGATGGCCTTTAAGTCCTTTTGTCTCAGCTTCTAAATGCTGGTATTACAGACATAGGCCACATGCTGAGCTTTTGTGGGATTTTTGTGATCTGAGCAAAGCATGAAGATATAGAAAACTTGTGTTTTTGCTTTGCTGGGGATTAAATCCAGGGTTTCTCACATGCTAAGCAAGCACTCTGTGTTACATTCCCAACCGTAGAATATACGCAGTTTTTTATGTATTCTTTAGTAGGCTTTAATCTTGTCTTTTAACCAGAAGTTTCTCTAAACAAATGTCTTAAAATACATAATTTCTCAGTTCTTTTTCTTTAAAAAAATTGTTCTTTCTGTGTCCTTAGCTTGTTTTCACTTGATACTATTGGTGTAACCAAGGTGTGGAGTACTGGGTTTTGCTGCCGCCATGTTCCTGTACAATTTAACCTTGCAGCGAGCTACTGGTATCAGCTTTGCCATTCATGGCAACTTCTCTGGTAAGTTTTCTAGTTCTTATTTTTGCAAATAAAAATGAATTAATGCATATTTTGCTTATCTCTTGTGGAGAAAATGGTAATGTGAATGATCAAATCTAGCTTGTAATATGTGAGACTTAAGTTGAAGTATATTATCTAATTTCAAGTTCCTTTATTAGCTTTTATTGTGTAATGATTCTCATCAGAAGTATACATTTCCGCCAGGCGCTGGTTGCTCACAGCTGTAGTCCTAGCTACACAGGAGGCTGAGATCTGAGGATCATGGTTCAAAGCCACGCCTGGTAGGAAAGTCTGAGTCTCCTATCTCTAGTTAGCCACCAGAAAACCAGAAGTGGAGCTGTGTGGCTCAATGTTGTAGAGTGCTAGACACCTCCTTTCTTCCCCCCTGCCCAAAACACATTTCCTGGGTTATTGATGCTAGGTTCTGTATTGTTGATGTATAGTGTAAGTCATTATCTTTGATCTTGAATGTGACATTAGGTTGGATAAAAATGTCTCAGAAATGTTTGGTTTTCCTTTGGCTTGATGCTTGAAGAGATAATAGGACTTTAGCAATTGAGAAGGAAAGTGCAGAGCTAGGGTTGTGACCCAAATTGTATCACCTAGAGACCAATATATCCCAACAAAGAGAAGGGAAAGTATAGGTTAGGTGGGGTTGGCTGCTAGTGTGGAAACAGCATTTATGATATTTGTTTACTCCTTGCTTTTATGCCATGTATAGTGAGCTGAAGTGGAATGATGAACTAAAACTTTTTTGTGTCAGATTTTGAGTGCTGGATTAAATAAATATTAGAGCCTGGACACTGGTGGCTCACTCCTCGCTACTTAGGAGGCTGAGATCTGAAGATTGTGGTTTGAAGTCAGCCTGACAAAAAAGTCTACAAGACTCTACCTCCAATTAACCACTGAAAGCCGAAGTGGAACTCAAGTGGTAGAGCACCATCTTTGAGCAAAAAAAAGCTAAGGGGTGGCACCTAGGTCCTGAGTTCAAGCCCTAATACCAGCACACACACACACACACACTCTCTCTCTCTCTCTCTCTCTCTCTCTCTGTATAGAAAATTGGGCATTCATGTAAATAAGCTAAAATAAGAAAAGAAAATTAGGTATTAATGTAAATAAGATAAAATAGCCTTTTATTGTCATTGTAGGCTGAAAATTTGTGAATTGTAATTCCCAGGTAGTGAGTTTTGTTGATGTTCAAAGCTTAATACTTAGGTGGTTGAGCCTAACTGTACTGAATTTACTTTCCATGTTGCTGTTTTCTCTGATTCTGATTACAAATCTTACTGTGGTACTGGAGGGTTTGCTTGAGTAATTTATTCTCTACTACCTTTTGTAAAACATATGCATATGTAAATTAGGAGTTT